CTCCACCTTTTCCCCCCCCCCCCCCCCCCCCAAGGTTACCTTTTCCAAGCCGCTGAGGACGGGGATAAGAAATCGGACATCTGGCAGTCTCTTGTGGTACAGGTCTCGAACACGCTTCACCAGCTCCGGAGACGGGGGAACTGAGCGAGGAAAAACAGATCGGATCACACAGTTAGAACCCCAACCACACTTGTTGCCTCTGAGCTCTAGGGCAGGCGTGTCAAACATGTGGCCTGGGGTCCAAATCAGGCCTTCAAAGGACTTCTATCAGGCCCGCAGTAGAACTGGCTGTCTCCTGCTTTTCCTTCCAGTTCTGCTGCTGCGTCATTATAGGTTTGCAGCTTACAGATACACACCTGACCAGCATACTCAAGATTACAACAGCACAGACATTTTGATGCGATAATTCAGAGTGAGAGGTGTCAAGTTATCAGACACGGTTAAATAAACAGTTAAATAAACAAAGTATTGCAAGAGTGCTGATGCTTTAAGCATGTTTTTATTTTAAGTAAGAAAAACCCCTTTGTGCTTGTGTCCAATGTTCCCTCTAAGCTGTGGAGTCTTGTGAGCAAAAATTCTACTCTGTGAGCTACTGGCATTAAAGTTGTGAGCAAGTGATTTGGCTACTGCATAAATTAGTTTGCTCTGGAGCCATCCTTCCTGAGCTAAGACAAAACTGTGTGAGCTGGAGGCTAAAGAACTGTGAGCTAGCTCACACTAACTCAGCTTAGAAGTTGTGTCCTCTGTAAAGTTTATATCTCCGCTATCTGGCATTACGTTTTATGACACACGTGGCCCGGCCCAACAAGGTCTCGTTTATGTCAGATCCGGCCCTCAGAACAAATGAGTTCGACACCCCTGCTCTAGGGGATTTTCTTTTTAAGGGGAGGTAAATTCTCTTTCTAGTCGCTTTCTCCGCGCGATGGAACTCCCACTACCCCGCTCAGGCCGCCTCGGAGAATTCAGTGTAGCCCCGTCCCCGAGCCCCACGTTATCCACCAAAAGAGAAAACTTGCACGGAACTGCAGAGCCGGGGGGACCGGACCGCTATGTAGGGAGCCCTGTTCAAAAAACACCATATGTGGTGGTTATGCGACAGAGTTAAGAAATATTGGGCAGGGATACATGAAACTGTACAAAAGGTTTTGAAGTGCAACGTACCTTTTACTCCTGAAATATTTCTGTTGAACATTTTACCCGATAATTTTAAAAACGATGGATATATAACCACCTCAGCTAAAATATTGTATGCCAAATACTGGAGGAGCCAAGAAGCACCAAGTAAAGAAGAATTCATTAACAAAATATTAGAAGCGGCAGAGATGGACAAAGTAACCTTAACTCTGAAGGATCATACGGAAGAGTCATTTGAAAACCCATGGCGGAGATTCTATAAATGGTATGAGAGCTATATCCATACTAAGACAGGACAAGGTATATAAACAAGGAGAAGAGAAGAAGTAGACTTCAGGAACTTAACTTTTGACAATATTGGTTGCATTAAATCTCGGTTTACTATGAGGTGTAAGCTTTAAGTAATACATAGTTGGCTTTAAAGTATATATTACATAATGCACCCTCAATTTTGTTTGCGTTCATTATATGTTTGTGTCATGTCTGTGTTGTAGGGGGGGGAAATCTTATATAAAAAAGAGAAAGAAACATGGAGAGAGATTTCTCCTAACCTTTATCCGTTAGGCTATGCAGGCAACGGGTCACCAGAGTCTCCGCCCCTTTGGGGCAGTTTTCCACCAGGAGCAGCAGCTCGGGGGAATTCATTCCCATCCCGCGGATCTGGAGGACATTTGGGAGAGAGGAGCCGAGAAGGTCAATGAGAGGGGAGGGAGTAAAATACGGCGCCAGCCGTCCAGAGCTTGGGGGAGGGGAAGCCGTGGGCGAGTCGAATCCCTTTCCCCCCCGCTCACCGGCTGCTCAATAACCCGGAGGACGGTGCGCTTGATGTCGGCGATGGCCTCGGTGTACACGGACGCCAGCTCGTGGATCAGCTTGTGGTTCTGGGGGAGGAGGGCCAGGTAGAGGTAGAGGCACTGCTTGATGGTCTCCTCTGTCCAAGGGGCGGCCACCTCTGCAAGGCAAAAGAAGGCTTTGCTTCACTGACATTTATTTTATTAGACTTGTACCCTGCCCTCCCTGCAAGCAGGCCCGGGGCAGGTTCCATCAGTCTTTTTTTCCCCCCACCTGTTTATTTTCCATATTTTCCACCACAAATACAAACATTTCATTTCCTTAGATTACATAAATTTTTAGAGTTGTTGAATCAAGTTGAATCAAGTAACATGTTTTATGCAAATAATTAACATTGTACTTATTTAATAACCTGTACCTGTTTTATCCAATTATATACCCTTAGCCATCTTTTATTTTGCGATTTATTATCTGATGGAACCTAATTATTTATTATTAGGTTCCATCAGTCTTAAAACAATACACAGTGACAGTTAAAGCCAACTTAAAACAGGATTGAACCGTAAAGTAATCATACAATCATAAAAGACCGTGCGGAATCTAGTTATTTGGTTGTAGATCTTGGTTGTAGACTTGCACCCCACCCTCCCTGCAAGCAGGCCCGGGGCAGGTTCCATCAGTCTTAAAACAATACACAGTGACAGTTAAAGCCAACTTAAAAGAGGATTGAACCGTAAAGTAATCATACAATCATAAAAGACCGTGCGGAATCTAGTTATTTGGTTGTAGATTTTCCGGGCTGTATGGCCGTGGTCTTGGCATTGTAGGACCACGGCCATACAGCCCGGAAGATCGACAACGACCAATGAACTCTAGCAGTGAAAGCCTTCGACAACGTATAGAATAACAACTCAGTAGCTAAAAATGAGGGTATAGTTCCTGGATGGTTGTTCAAGTTCAGGACACCGATGGGAGGCCAATCAGAAGGTATTAGCCACAAGGTATAGACAGGAACTCTCGGTCTGGGGCAAGGGATGCTCTGTGTTCTTGGTGCTTGGGGGGGGGCAACAGTGGGAGGGCTCCTGGGGTCCTGGCCCCACTGGTGGACCTCCTGATGGCCCCTAGTGTTTTGGGCCACTGTGTGACACAGAGTGTCGGACTGGATGGGCCATTGGCTGGATCCAACGTTGGCTTCTCTTATGTTCTTATGTCTGGGGCAAGTGATGCTCTGTCTTCTTGGTGTTTTGGGGGGAGGCAAGAGTGGGAGGGCGTCTGGAGTTCTGGCCCCACTGCTGGACCTCCTGATGGCCCCTGGTGTTTTTGGCCACTGTGTGACACAGAGTGTTGGACTGGATGGGCCATTGGCCGGATCCAACGTTGGCTTCTCTTATGTTCTCGGGGGGGGACGCCTGCTGCCTCCACTAAAAGCCCAGTGGGAGAGCTCCATTTTACCGGCCCTGCGGAATTGTAATAAAACCCGCAGGGCCCTGATCTCCTATGGGAGCTCATTCCACCAGGTAGGGGCCAGGGCCGAAAAAGCCCTGGCCCTAGTTGAGGCAAGTCAGACGTCCATGGGGCCGGGGACTACGAAAAGGTGCTGATTTGTAGATCTCAGTGCTCTACGGGGCTGGGAAGGAAGGTGGCCACCGGGCGACCGAGAGCTCAGAGGGAGGAAATCGTTTCTTGGGCAGCATCCACCCAGCCCCGCCCACCCTGATTTTAAAGCACCTGTTAGGATTCGCATCCCATTTAAGCACTTGCGGGAGACTGAAAGGGAAGACCTTACTTTCCCAGTAGCGGAAAGGAACAAGACCGCAGCGCTGGTCTGTTAGGTCCTGCGCATTTGGAAGAAGGCAAGGAAGACAGCTGGACAGTTGATTGGCGATTCTGGCGATGCTGTGGTTGGATCCAAACATCATGAACAAGCCAGTACTTCCCTCCCCTCCAATCTCTATGCAAAGCCATGAGTGAAGATTATCCTAATTTAGGAGATCTTTGACCTAACTACGTATTCAGATGCATTAAGAAAGTGAGGTTTGTTGCTATTTATGACTCCGGTTGCAAAAACAATAAAAAGAAGAAGAGAAAGAGACTGGATTTATACGCCACCCTTCATTACCCGAAGGAGTCTTAGAGCGGCTTACAATCTCCTTTCCCTTCCCCTTCCCCACAACAGGTAGGTGGGGCTGAGACAACTGCCCTTGAGAGAACAGCTCCGAGAGAACTGTGACTGACCCAAGGTCACACCAGCGGCTGCACGTGGAGGAATGGGGAATCAAACCCAGTTCTCCCAGATTAGAGTCCGTGCTCCTAGCCACTACACCACGGTGTAGATAAAACTGTTTGGGTTTTTTTTTGTTCTCAAAGTGGGAAGCTAAATCAGTCTTAACGTCAGGTATCACAAACTGTGGTTAGAAGGAAGAATTCTTAAACCGACAAGTCTTTATGTCTGGCTCCGTGCCCATTTGTGAACTTGAGGAATTCGGGGTCATTTGTATTGTGAAGAAATACGGCTTGTCTACGATGTCCGAAATCCAGCCTCGGTGCTCCTTGAATGAGCATGAGCGGCACACAAGAGAAGTGACAGAAGTCTAAGCAAGGGCAGGTGCGTTCCCTACATGGGAGCAGTGTTTCCCCTCTAAGCTGAGTTAGTGTGAGCTAGCTGACAAGTTTTTTAGCCCCCGGCTCACACATTTCTGTCTTCGCTCAGGAAGGAGGGCTCCAGAGCCAACTAATTGATGCAGCAGCCAAATCGCTTGCTGCACAACTTCAATGCTGGTAGCTCACAAAGTAGAATTTTTGCTCACAAGATCGCAGCTTAGAGGGAGCACTGCATGTGAGTAGAAAGCATATCCATCCACTTGCAACGTCTCAAGGTAAGAAGCAATTTTGTGTTGCGGTCCGGCTTGGTTCTGGAGTGTCCCACCACTCTTTCTGGCCAAGGAGCCCCCGGCCTCGACAGACTCACCTGTGTCTTTGTCTGCTCCAAAAAGGACCGAGGGGGGGTTGGGATGCACCAGGAGCTGCAGGTAGTTGAGCGCAAACTTCTCCACGTACTCCCGCAGCTGATCTTTCTCGTACATCCGCTTGATGAAGAGCAGGGCCTGCTGGCGGACCTAAGAGGCAGGAAGAGACGGCTTTCGTGACCTGATCCGGAATCAGACCACCCGTCCATCAGTCAGTATTGTCTACTCAGACTGGCAGCCGCTCTCCAGGGTCTCAGGCGGAGGTCCTTCACACCACCTCCTGCCTGGTCCTTTTAGCTGGAGATGCCGGGGATTGAACCTGGGACCTTCTGCATGCCAAACAGATGCTCTACCACTTAGCCACAGCCCCTCCGCAATCATCAAGGTCAGAATTGTCTACTCAGACTGGCAGTGGCTCTCCAGGGTCTCAGGCGGAGGTCTTTCCCATCCCCTCCTGCCTGGCCCTTTAAACTGGAGATGCCGGGGATTGAACCTGGCCCTTCTGCATGCCAAGCAGAAGCTTTTCGACTGAGCCACAGCCCCTCTTCACGGCTCTCCAGAGTCTCAGGCAGAGATCTTTCCCATCACTTATTGAGATGCTGGGGATTGGACCTGGACCTTCTGCATGCCAAGCAGAAGCTTTTCGACTGAGCCACAGCCCCTCTTCACGGCTCTCCAGAGTCTCAGGCAGAGATCTTTCCCATCACTTATTGAGATGCTGGGGATTGAACCTGGGACTTTCTGCATGCCAAGCAGAAGCTTTTCGACTGAGCCACAGCCCCTCTTCACGGCTCTCCAGGGTCTCAGGCAGAGATCTTTCCCATCACTTATTGGAGATGCTGGGGATTGGACCTGGACCTTCTGCATGCCAAGCAGAGGCTCTACCCCTGAGCCACAGTTCCTCCCCATATTCCAATATTCCTCTAGTGAATACTGACCAGAGAGGGAGAAGAAGAGAGGAAAGAAAACAAGAGAACTGGGTGGGAATAACAACCCAGAAAAAGCCAGAATAGAGAGATCATGGGATTTATGTCAAGCCTCGAGGGGCCACCGCTCGAGAGCCCCCGTTTTGCAGTGCAGAAGTTACGTGGTTCAGTGTTCCCTCTAAGCTGAGTTAGTGTGAGCTAGCTCACAGTTTTTTAGCCTCTAGCTCACACATTTTTGTCTCAGCTCAGGAAGGAAGGCAGTAGCCAAATCACTTGCTCACAACTTTAATGCCAGTAGCTCACAAAGTAGAATTTTTGCTCACAAGACTCCACAGCTTAGAGGGAACATTGGTCCCAACATCTGCACTTTAAAAACAGATCTCTGGAAACAAGCTGCAGAGAAGAACCCTCCTGCCAACCTGAAATAATAGTACAGGGCCAAAAAGAGCATTTCTCCAAGTCAGTCAAAGGCAATTTCATATATTCACAATACAGGTTAAAACTAAATCAAGAGTTTTCGACTAAACAACAGGAAGAACTTCCTGACCGTCAGAGTGGTTCCTCAGTGGAACAGGCTTCCTCGGGAGGTGGTGGGCTCGCCTTCTCTGGAGGTTTTCAAACTGAGGCTAGAGGGCCATCTGACAGCAATGCTGATTCTGTGAATGTAGGCCGATCACGAGAAGGGAGGACAGGAAGGGTTGCCTCAGGGCTTAGTTCTTGTGGCCCTTCCTTACACACCCAGGGAAATGCTGATCACCACTTAGGGGTGAGGAAGCAATCCTGGAGGTTTTTTGTCATCTTCTGGGCATGGAACAGCAGTCACTGCAGGTGGGGAGGGGGGAGGAATTTGTGAACTTGCTGCGTTGTGCAGGGGGTTGGACTAGATGACCCTGGAGGTCCCTTCCAAGGCCACGTGGAGTGGCCTCGGCCAGGCAGAGGGGGAGGACGCCAATTTACCCTCCTGCTTCTTCCTCCTTCTGCAACAGAATGTGGCTGGAAGCAGGGGGCGGCCGGAAGAAGGGGCGGGGCTTCGTCGTGTGCCCCGCCCCCTGCACCTCACCCGGGGGAACTGCGATCCCCCCCGAATCGACCTCTGTGTGTGACGCCTAAGCCTTGTCAGTTATATTTTCTTTCCTCAACAACAGTTCAAAAAAAATACCCAGACCTCTATTTTGTTCTTTTATAAATAAATCGTTGTTTAAACGTATCCCAGCAATCAGAACAGTCCTTCCTCAGGGCCACACATTCCTCTGAAGCGCCCAGACCACTGGGTCATTCTAGCAAAACAGAGTTGGATTTTTTAATTCCTGGAGGCAGCAGAAAATCTACTCAGTTCATGTACACAGAGTGTGGTTTCAAGGAGAAACGGTCTCCCCAATAAGCGAGGATGCCACAGGCAGGTTTTAAGCTTCACCTTGTCCTTCTCGTGAGAGCTGAGGTCCAGGAGAATGTGCAGGTATTGGAACTGCCGAGACGGGCGCTTAAAGATCAGGTCCCGAAGGGTAGACATGCCCAGGTACGTCCGGCTCTGCAAGAGAAATCACAAGGGCCTCTGACCACATGCAGGTTTTTTGCAAAGAAAGGGCAGTCCCGAGGAAGCTGCAGGCGTTGAGGAAAGCACAACTGGAATCCAGCCGGTAGCAAAACAGAGTGCGTTTGAGCCAGTTTGGTGTAGTGGTTAAGTGCGCAGACTGTAGTCTGGGAGAACCGGGTTTGATTTCCCCCCACTCCTCCACTTGCACCTGGTTGGATGACCTTGGGCAAGCCATAGCTCTGATAAGAACTGTCCTTGAAAAAAGAGCAGTTTCTGTCAGAGTTCTCTCAGCCCCACCTACCTCCCAGGGTGTCTGTTGTGGGGAGGGGAAGGGAAAGGAGTTTGTCAGCCGCTCTGAGACACCTCTGGGTAGTGAAGGGCAGGGTATGAATCCAATCTCTGCTTCTTCTTATTCCCCCCATAGAATCATAAATATCTAACATGCTAGAGCAGGAATGTCAAACTCATTTGTTGCGAGGTCCAGATCTGACATAAATGGGACTTTGTTGGACCGGGCCATGTGTCATAAGATGTAATGCCAGGCAGCGGGGATATTCCACTGGAGCCCCACATTAGGAGGGTGTGTGTGTGTGTGTTAAAACTAATACTCCTCTGCAAAACTGGAGTTCCTTGAATTTGTGGGACTCTACATTCTAACTGTGGTTGGTCTCAAGTTCCCCACCCCCTGCCCTTAAAAGACGCCTGCCTGAAATGGAAAGGTGGTGGGGACTACTGGAATTTGGCAATGCAGTTTTTAAAATAAAACATCAAGGAGAAGCACAAGGATCACCGCAGAAGGACGCCCCGGGGGGCCCCTATCTGTGAGGAAGAAGAAGAGGAGATTGGATTTATACCCCGCCCTTCACTACCCAAAGGTGTTTCAGAGCGGCTTACAAACTCCTTTCCCTTCCCCTCCCCACAACAAACACTCTGTGGGGTAGGTGGGGCTGAGAGAGCTCTGATAGAAACTGCTCTTTTTTCAAGGACAGCTCTTATCAGAACAACAGCTTGCCCAAGGTCATCCAGCCAGGTGCAAGTGGAGGAGTGGGGAATCAAACCCGGTTCTCCCAGCCACGACACCAAACTGGCTGAGGAGGACGACGGAGGCTGGGAGCAGTGCCGGGGAATGCACTCAAAAGCCGCGTGAGCTGGGAAGTTGGGCAGCCCCGCCCTCTGCTCCCTGCACGCAGAGGCAGCTGGACCTCAGAAGGGCGAGTACGGGCAGGGGAGGGAAGGAGAGAGCCCCACTCGTGGGCCAGATTAAAGCCCTTGGGCGGGCCAGTTCTGGCCCACGGGCTGTAGGTTTGACACCCCCGTGGTATGGGTTATGCCACGTCGGGTCACCCCGAAACGCTTCCGTTCCAGTGCGCCAGGCACCGACACCCGGTCTCCGCTCCCCGCGCAAGCTCCCCAGTCTGCAGCCGCCGCTCGGACCCGGGACCCCGGGCGGCATCTTCCCGGAGACAGACCTCATCTTCGCAGTATTTCCGGATCACTTCCAGGGCACTCTCGGTGATCAGCGGGGCCTCCAGGACCACCTTGGTGAATATCCTGCGAGGGGCAAGACCAGAGGAGCAAATTAAAATGCACAGCCGCAACTTAGAATCACAGAGTGGGGAGGGGCCATAGAGGCCATCTAGTCTGACCCCCCTGCTCAGTGCAGGATCAGCCTAGAGCATCCCTGACAAGGGTTTGTCCAGCTGCTGCTTCAAGACGGCCAAGGAGGGGGAGCTCATCACCTCCCCAGGCAGCCGGTTCCACTGCTGAACAACTCTTATTGTCAGAAAAGTTTCTCCTCAGATTAAGCTGGTCCCTTCCCGCCCTTCATTTAAACCCATTCTTGCGCATCCTCTCTCTCCTCTGCTGCCAACAGAAACGGCTCCCGGCCCTCCTCTAAGGGACAGCCAAAACGAGAGATCACGGGAAGAGGTGGAACTCCAAAGACGTCCCCCTCCACACCCCCAGTGACCCCTGTTCCACGCTCAGAAGATGACAAGAAACCTCCAGCCAAACTGGCCTGGAGAAAAATGGCTTCCTGACCCCAGAGTGGCGATCCGCATTTCCCTGGGCGTGGAAGAAAGGGCCGCGAGAACCAAGCCACTGAGGCGACCCTCCCTTTCATGATCCACCTCGGTTCACAGAAACGGCATTGCTGTCAGATGGCCATCTAGCCTCTGTTTGAAAACCTCCCGAGAAGGTTTTCTACTTGATACTGCAGAAAATTCTACTTGATATTGAATAGTAAAAGATGGGAAAGCACTTTCTCTGCCAGACAACCTGGTCTTGGCGCGGCCAGCGTATCCTGTACGGAACTAGAGAAATCAACAGTCTAACTTGATAC